GTCCACTCATATAAACTCACAAAACAACACGGCAGAAATAAATGGTAGGGTCGAATAAGCATTGGACATCGATTGCCATAAACCGACCTTTAGAAGGTTAGAATGATAACTAAGTCGATCAAAAGATGTTGAAAATTGAAATTAACAATATCTTTGCTCGATGAATGCGTACATATTTACGAATATGTTTGTTAACTTTAAACCGTGGAGCTACTGTGATTAACGTTAAGTTTTTAGATTGCCAGCGAAGAAGTATTTCAATTTTGGACTTGTTCGCTGTACCTTTAATAGCAATTTAGTTTCATTGGTCGCGTTTTTTTAACCGTTCCTCCGTAAATAAGTCTATAAATTTCAACCATGTGGATCTATCATTTGGAATCTACCCAACATAAGGATTCGCATGAAACGTAGATCTTTATACAGTAACAAAGTCTTTATCATGAAAATGCATAAAGGAAAGCAAGTGTTTGCTACATTTGAACCAGGTTAGTCCAGAGAGAAGATGTAATTGTTAGTATTTTATCTTGAAAACGAAAAAAGAAGAAGTATTATGCAAAGTATAAGGTATAAGGTGTTGAAAGGATAACCATGTTTGACCAAATGCTTCAACTTACTTTTTTATTACTTGATATTAAACTATAATTTAAATTTTTTTAAAATTATATTTGAATTTAATTGAAATTTTTAATAAAATCTGCTTATGAATAATGAACTATGATATGTGCATATGACTTTATTTTACATTGTGAACATTAAACATGTCTATCGTTAATTTAACCGTTATGTTAGCATAAATATATGATAAGTTATTGAATCTTATTCACTGCTATTCAAAGTGAATTCTGTATACTTACGGTATACGTTGCTATCAAAACAAGTCTCTTTTTAATCGGATCATATAAATTTTGTTTTTATCAAAATATTTATTTATTGATTCATTTTCTGTATGCAATATTGAAGGATATATTAATTTGAGCATTTACGTAGTAACAGAAGTAAACTTGAAAAATAGTACTAACACAAATGTAAATGTCTACTCTTCAAATGATTGTAAGTCAAAGAATATGCAATCGCTCATCTACGAACTAAAGAAAAAATATTAATTCAGAGTATATTCGCTATATAAAATATATCTATAGCTCTGCTCGCGGCAATGTTAGAAATGTCTTTCTCCAAACAAAAACATGCGTAATGGTGCAAGGACAAAACAAATTGTCTCCAATTTTTATTAATGATAGATATACTTATTCATACCTTTTAACTTTGGTCGCACTAACGTTATGAATATATCTCCAAAAGAAAATATGCTTAATATTGAGAAGACGAGATCAAATGACTTCCATATCTATTATTGTTAGGGAACATTTTCGTTTCTTTTTTAAATGCATATCCAAAATACAGAATATATGTATATAAGCAGAATCTCCACTTGCTAGTTTTTTTAATCTTAGTTTTAATTTAGATAACAAATTCGATTTCTAAGGTATTTTACTTGGTTTTAGTCCAAAAAGTGAAATTAATTATAAAATATTTGAGATTACACTTCGAAAAGTTTGTTCGTTAAGTGAATTCATAAAGTTGGTATGAATCCGAGATAAGCTTTTTCAAAGAACTCAATACGTGATCTTTCGTTAAGAGCATAACATACGAGTCGTTAATGTTTTACATGCGAAACTTGTCAACAACGTCATGAGGGTAAGTGCTAAAGATTCCACTGAAACCGCATTTTATTTGCTTTTTTTGCTTCCAGTTGGTGTTTCGCCAAAAAAACCTAATATATGCAAATAGGCCACTCAATCGTCGGACTAAAATGAGATGATGGAAAACATACATTTTTTTTGCTTAACTTCGTCGAAATACTTAATTTTTGTAAATGAACGTTATTCATTAGTGATAGCAATAAATATAGAATTTTTATTTGGTATAATCTATTTCTGCTATGGTTTGCTCGTTTACTTTATGCCATCAATGGCATAATTTTTATTTTCTAATGAAATTGTCCACGAATATTCTTACTCCACTTCTCAACAAATTTAATCAGCATTTATAATTTGATGCACTTGATGAGGTCCCTTAGAAATTTCAAATACCGGAAGTTATAGAAAATTATTAGAGATCAATTGCTAGACTCAAATATTTTCTCTTCTTGTTAATCCCCATCATTCTATAAAGGCGTATGACTTATTGATTGGGCTGGAACCATTTCTTATCACCTTCTCTTTCCCCACTTTTTTCTGATCATCACTGTATTACACGAATAGTTGACATCTTCTGAACGTTTAATCATAGTAAAAATTATAGTGTTTCTTAACTACGGCCATAAAATAAGCTAAACGGTGGAAGATATGAACAAGAACTTCCTTTTATTTTAGATATTGATTCACGACACTTTTATTTAAAAATGTTTTCATATATAAATGATAGCCTGTAGTCTCCTGTAAACATTGAATCTTGGAACACACTCTTACTTCGCCGACGATATGAATAATCTTGATGAATTGAGAGTTCGTGGTTTGTTGGAGTTCGAGTTTTGTTGGATCTATAAAAAAAAAGCCCAATAGAGTTAGTTACACCGCAAAATCTTTGTTTCAAACTCCCATAGGCATCTTTGGATATTGCATTGTCGTCAAAATTAAAAGTACATCGAAAGAAAACCATTCAGAAGAGATACTCAAATTTTCTTGTATCCAAGTTGTCTACTTTTCAGAATTCATATAATACTGTGACGAAAAAGGGTGAGCAATATTTAAGTTAAATTGTGTGCGCAGGTATATCGAATATCGAATATCGGAAATATTTTCTTTTTAAATTGTTTACACTCTAACAGACATGTGCGTCAAAATTCGCATCATAAACGTCATCACTGTTTCAATCTCGTACGACACAAAAAGTATTTTTTCCGATTTTTTTTTTCGATGTGCGATTTTGTTGAGCAAAGTAATTGCATTCAATTTGGTTTGCGAAATGAAATAAGATGAGTTTTGGAGCTACGCTTACGACCTGCAAGCAACCGATCAATTCGTGCACGAGATGAACTGAGATTGCAAAATCGGAACAACGTTGCTTAGAAATCAATGTGATATTGACAGTTTTCTTCGGTTATCGTGTTTTTGTGCACTACGAATTCCTTCCGTCGGGCCAAGCTATTAATAAGCAACATTATTTAGGTTTGAGGATAACTTTGAAGGCGACAAAACAGATTTGAAATCATAAGTAGACTTAAAAAGGAAAAAATTGAATTGATATTACTCTTTGGGCACAGTCTTCATTGCAATTTTATGCCCATTGACAAAAGAAGGGAACATAGTAGATTTATCTTTCCGTTTATAGTAATAGATAGAAGAGAAACATTCTACAGCTGTGTAAGATTCTGAACCTACCAATTCACCGTTAATTAATCAGCTGCTGAGGAAAAACTCACGATCACCAAAATAAAGCTCATTTCCAAGTAGATATGACTAACAAAGCACCAGCACCTGGAGATATTAATCAAAAACATCGATCCCATTCTCGTGCATACTTTTGAAGGGAATACAAACGTAATGCGATCATAAATAAGTTCGCAAAAATGGAAAACCATTATCTATAACACTTTATACCAATCGAGCTAAGAATGGTATAAATATTTTTCATGATCATCTAAAGGAAAAGAGCTCTCGGTTTTGCATTCGGGTTCAAGTTATGGATTTAAAAAATTCTCTTCAAAGTAAACATAATGTAATATATTTTTAGGAATTCAATATATATATTTTTATATTCTAAATATCCATGCGTGTGTTTTATTAATCTCTTTTAAAGATATTTTATGTAAAACGCATTATTTCAACTTTAAAAAAATCTCGTTAAAGTTGTAATAATAGGCTTATGTTTTACTATTGACCGTGAGTTCAAATAATATTTTTTTTATTTAAACAAACAAAAAAAAGGTATACTTTTATTTAATATATATGTATTTGCTTGCGGTTTTCATACAGACAGATATTTAGTTGTCCATTTAAATACGTTTGATAAAGTGCGTACATATGTCATAATTTTGAATGGTCGGATACGCACACGTATACACAAATCATGGGCATAATACATTTATATATTTGAATATATTTCTTTCTCTTTTTGTTGCTCTTCACTAATGGAGTGTGGTATGATTAGTTTGCTATTCACTTTGTACGGTTTACAATATTTGCTCTGGCACAAAATTTTCGCAGAACTTATCACAATTAAAATTCTAAATTTTTTTATAAGAAATTATAATTACTATATTTATAAATAAAAAATGATTAATTATAGTAAATAAAAAATTTTTATAATTATAAATTATAATTAATTATTTAACCAATTAATTTAATCAATTAATTTTAATTATTTCAATTAATTAAATTATTAATACATAAATTAAATTGATTTAATTTAATATGATATAATTAATTAATTAAAATTAATAATTATTATATATTATAATTAAAATATATTATATATAATAAATTATTAATTAATTGGCTATAATATATTTATATAGATGGCTATAATATAGTTATAGTTATAATTAATTCATTTAAATATAAAAATACGAAATTCGCAAAAGTTTCTGCCGGCAGCTTTATAATAACGCAACGTAAAGATTTAGACTAGAAAATGCAAAAAGCATAGTGAAAAATTGGTATAGTATAAGCCGCGTATAAATAATAGGCTATTTAGGCTAAGTATTTTTTCTTTTACAACAATAAAGATTTTTCTTTTTATGCAAACATTCATGCAGTCATTGAGAAAAAGAATATGTTGAGTAGTTAACGTTCGCTTGTTTAAAAATGTAATGCATTCTAATTGTCGTGACTTCAAGATTCGTTTAATGGTGAGGAAAATTTGCTTCGCTTTTCCCCCCAATTTCAACTAAGTTTGGTAGATTTTATTTTTTTCTTATTTTTATTGCTTTTATTCACTTTGTTAACCATTCTGGCTGCTAGCTATAAATATTGATGCGTTTACTGCCAAGCGTTACAGTTTCAACTTACAAATTTTAGTGCGTAGTGCGTTAATCTGTTTCTTATCGTTAAGAAGTGGACGGAAAAATTGAATTTGAAAATGAAAATAATTGTAAGTGCACACAGGATAAGTACCGGATCTGACATGCTGACCATATTTCCCGTTAGCTTGCAAATAAAAAAAATTTCAAAATTTCACAATAAACTGCTAGCTTTAGCGTCAGTTTAAGATTGTCTTTGGACTTGATTTCGTGTAGCTATAAGAATTTATTAGTGTCTGATAATTTTTCAGTAAAGCAAAACCAACTTCAACTTTAAACGTGTCAGTGTAAAAGACTTTTCCGACTATATAAGTGCTAATCAGATTCTTACTCGATTTTTTAAAAAATTATTTCGGATGTGTTGAAAACCGAAAAATTATAGTTTTCACACTCAGTTTCGGAGCTTCCAGAGTTCCCTAAGATTAGCGTGCAGGCTAATGGCTACGGCCATTCAGCGTCACACTAAATTCGAAAGTATTTACGACCAGCCTGATGGGTGTTGTTAATATAACATTAAAATTTGTACCGGATGTGCTCTAAATAATCGGATTGTTTGAAAACCGGTTAATCTATTCGCGCCAGCGATTAGTGGCGGTCTGAGTTGCATAGGTGCGACCTTTTCACGTAATAGTGTTATAGATAGTTGCATTTTACGTAGACACCTGCCGGAAAAACACAAGAAATGGGGAAATGACATTCATCGCTTCGCAAGATGTTTAATTCTCGATGCTTTTTTTAAAATGTCCTGGTAATTTTAAAAGGCAACTTTTACAACTTTGCACGATAGGTGTTGGAAAATGAAATGTAAGAGAGAATGGCAAAGGGAGAGAGGGAGAGAGAGAGAAAGAAATATTTCGGTTGGCCGTGTTTTTCTATCCGTCACAATTACATTGCTTTGTTAAAAGCGTAAGGAACCTTCTTTAAATGTTTGGCAAACCGCGGAATTTTCAAACAAATAGATTGTATTGCGTAGGCGTGACCGACATTTGTCTTTGGTGTGGATAGCATAGAATCATCAATGGAGTAAACAGGGAAATGGTTTTCACTGCATCTATTGGAGTTTACGAGTAATGAGCAAAAGTTCAATTCTCTCTGCTTGTAAAATAACGGTGTTCTTAGTTCATATCTTACGTTGGCGGTAATCTTTGATCGAATGCACCAATTTTCGATACCAACTTGCCTACAAAAACTTGGAACTCTCTGGCCAAGTATAAAATTGATTTTTGAATTTTTGCGACCAGGAATTTATTTGCAATAAATAGAAGCACATGCGGACAAAGGAGTATGTACAGATATGGAAAAGGATATCTTAAACCTCCTTCTGGTTGTTGCAACCGCTTTGCTAAAATATATTGTGAGGAATCACACATTGCTTTGCACACTTATCTGTCGAGATGTTATCTGTCTGCGTAGACTGACTCCTTTTCTTTTATTTTCTTTAAATAATCACCTTTATATCGTCCATTATAACGTAAGGCAGGAGCAGCGATGTTGCGTTTTTAAACACAGGGTAAAAATTTGGAATACCTATATCCAGTTTAGTTACAATTTTTAGTCCGGGAGTTAGCAGAGAGATACCTGTTACAAGCAATATATAAATAGCTGGGTACAACTGTCCCATGGAGTGTCAGGGTAAAAATAAATTTATTATATATTTTTATATGGCAGCAGCTCATTAAGTAATTTGCAATTCCCAGGCTCATATTGCTGAAATATTTCAAACATGACCGACTTAAAAGATGATTTTTGCCACTTAAGTAAGATGAAAGAAAGTCAACCTCTCCATTAAGTCCTTAACGGAGGAATTTCTTTCTTTTCATAAAATATGAACTGAGCATTTATTAGAAATTTAAGGAGTATTATTAAAAAGTCATCAAATAAAACCTGTAAAAAAATTATATTTGGTTGTGACCGAATTTTTTATACCTACCACCGTTATCCTATTTTTGTACAATGATTTTGCGGAAATTTACATCGTGCATCTGTGTAGTGTAGTTTATAAACAACAAACGAGAGAGAGGAAAAGCAAAAGTGTTCACTGTTTTCGTTACATTGGTGTGTAGACATTGTAGGCGAGCTTGTTGGCGATATTTGCATTTTTGCAAAAGGGGGAATTTTTAGCACAGGCTTACGCATTTGCGCAGACGTACAAATGGATAGACGAACAGATGGACATGCTTAGGTGCCTACACACTTTATGCGAGCTTTGAAACTTACTGCTGTGCGTTATAAGAGTATTGCAAAAAAAAAAAAAATGAAATTATGGGTAGGCGTGGTTAACTTTTACCATTTTTGTACACTTATCTGCTGTAACCAACTTTTTATTCCTTTTGAAAAGCAGAGGTGGAGCTGTAAGTCTATCCTTCGACCGATTTGGCTCATTTTCAAGACAACGTGGGTGCAAAAAAATTTCCAATTTGTTTACTGAATTTTAAGGCGACAGGGCGGACGAATGATGAAAATCAAATAATGTGAAATGAAGTTTAGTTAAACTGTCAAGAAGAGGTTAAAGAAATTGTTTTATATGAATACGTTTGAATTGGGCGAAGATAGATACTTTTAGTTTATTCACGGAATTCATTTCGAAGTGAAGAGCAATTTGCTTTCAAACCAGAATTAACGTACCTGAACATAAATATAAAAGTGCAATAAAGGAAATGTTATTAAATTCCATCGACCTCTAGCAGTAAGAGAGTTTTAAAAACTTTTTTTCTTGAAACTTTAAAACTTTCGTCTTCTACATGGACTGCTTTTCAATTTTAAAGAAGAACTCAACACTTGTGCATAACATAGTTGGTCGTTTTATTTATTTATTTTTCTACAGGCCATTCTCCTTTTGGCTTTGGCTTTAAGCAATGCAGCCCCCTTTGATCAAGACGGCAACGTCAAAGCTAAACGAGGTCTTCACTTAGATGTTGGCTATCATGCTCCGTTAGTTACCCATTCAGCGCTAGTGGCCCCGGCAGCAGCTCTTGTTCATCACGAACCAACTCTACTGACTCATGGATCTCTACTAGCACACGCACCTGTCTATACCACACATCACGTTTTGCCCACTTATGCTCACACACTTCATCATTACTAACTTGCGCAATAAATTTCATTGAATTCCTAAAAAGCAATCAATATAAGTACCTGCCCGAGTAACTACAAAACAACATCGATAACTGCTTTTTATGTCTGCTATATTTGCAAATACAAATGTATTGTTGTTAAAAAGAAGAAGAGTTTTGTAAAAATAAAATATAAAATAATGTGGATAAATATATTATAATTCAGAGTTTCTTTGATGAATTCCACTACTTAATAGTTGTGGCTGATTGATCACGTTTGCTGTCATGTATTATTTAAAGAACTTTGGACTCCACAACAAAAACTTCAAGTTCATTACCAATTACCAATGAAACGATGGATTGTTGAAGGATATTTTTGCATACCTACGCAGCAGGGAAGGGTACGAATACAAGATTGCGAAATAGTATGAATGCTTTTCACTTCCTTTTTGCGAGTAGCTCTGCCAAACGTATGCCTTTCGTGACTGACGCCAACTGAAAGGATATTTTTTAATTTGAAGTAAAATTCTTATTATGCACGGTTTAACACTAGAGCTACCGTGTACGACATTTTTATACTCTTTAATATTCGATTTTCCAAACAATATTTATCCCGCACGTAATGTTCTAAAATTTGTTGTTGACTTTCACTTATGCGAAAAGATCTTCAAATACTTAAAATCAATTTTTTTCCAACTGCTCTTTTGTCGACATACTAGTGGCATATATATATATAACTTTTTTCAGCAGAAGGGACTATTTTGATTCCTTATTTTTGTCGACGCATTCAGTGATCCATTTAGAAGTTAACGTCAACCTCATGCAACCGTCATGCAACTTTCGACCCCATGGTGATTTATTTATTTTACTTATTTATTTATTCCACTTATTCAAGAAACTCAACTAAAAAATTTGACAGTCGTGTTCAATTGACTCTTAAAGTAAGTTAAATTAATTAATATTAAAACTTAGTATAAATACAATAAAACAAATAAGAAGGAAAAGAAATAAAAAAGAAAAACAGCATGTACACAACTAGCATAGAGCCACACCCACAATCGGTACAGGACCAAATTGCGATTGAACCCCTAAGCCATCGCAAACATGCACAAGCTTGGCAACCGATAATAGTTAACAATAATTCATTTTCGACTCATCGTGAGATTTTAAGGTTAAGAGCTAGTTTAAGTACGACATAGGTAAATTACGCGCATTAAACAATGTTGTTTTAATGGACTTTAAAGAGTCCGATAATGAGAATAAATCATAGACATCATTTAGGTTCTTGCAAAGAACTCGGAGCGGGTTAAACAGCTCATAATTATATTTACATGAACCAAGGTAAAGTGCCTAGAGAAGCGGTTGGGGACATTAAAGGTTATTTCACCAAGTAATGCCGGCGAGTCAATAGCACCATTTATTACTTTGATTATGAATGATTATCTACGTATTTCGAGAGACGGAAAGGACAACAGAAGCAACCTATTTTCATAGGGGGAAGAGAGGCAATCGGATCCCAACCCAAATTCCTAGGGGCAAACAGCAAGGATTTGCTTTTGAACAGATTCAATTGAATCTACGTAGCACCTATATGAAGGAGACCACACAACTGAGGCATACTCGAGTATGGGTCTAACCAAACACATGTAAACCCTTTTCGTAATATAAGGATCATCACGCTCTTTGGACCACCTCTTTATAAAACCAAGTGCGGACCTAGCTTTGCTTAACGAGAGCTCAATGTGCAAGTTAAAACGTAATCTATGGTCAAATAGAACGCCTAAATCTGTGAACGTATCGACGTCCTCCAACTTATGCGAATCAATGAAATACTGAGTAATGAATGACTTTCTTCTTGAAAAAAGAAAGTTTCTTACATTTATTTAGATTTTGTTTCAGAAGATTCAAAGAGCATGCAACCAAATTATTCAAGTCACTTTGAAGGTGATGTGATTGCGATTCTGTAGAGAATGAAGAAAGCAGTTTCACGTCATTAGCGTACGTTAAGATCTGACTGGAATTAATCACCGATGGGAGATCATTAATGTATAGACTAAATAAAATGAAACCGAAGTGGTTGCCTTGAGGTACGCCAGGCGTCACGGGAAATTCATCCGAGGTGATGCAGTTAAACAGAACCCTGAAGGATCTATTGTGCAGATAAGAGCTTATCCATTTCACTAAATAGAAAGAGAAGTCAGAGGCTTGAAGTTTAAAGATAAGTAAGTTATGGTTAACCAAAGCAAACGCTTTGCTTAAATCAGTGTATATCTCATCTGTGCGAGAGCCACTAGAAAAAGCCTTGAAAACATGACAAGTAAACTCTAACAAGTTGGTGACTGTAGATCGCCCTTTCCAAAAGCCGTGCTGGTGCGGAGAAATATACTAATCAATGGCAAATGCCAAATGCTGAGCCACAATTCGCTCAAACAGCTTAGGCAAGACACTCAACTTGGTTGTGCCCCTGTAGTTCTCAACAAGTTGTCTACTTCAACTTTTGTGAATGGGAATAAGGAAACCACTCTTCCCACACAAAGGGAAAACAGCTAAATTCAAAGACCGGTTAAAAATCTTAGAGATAACACCATATAACTCGACAGGACAAGATTTAAATACACATGATGGAATTCCATCAGGTCCAGGCGCACAACTATATTTTAGAGAGCTCAACCATTTAAAAACCAAGTTAGTTATAGGATATGGGTAGTTTGGGGATAAATCGGAATTAGTAGTCGAAAAGTTTTGACGGAAGTACTCAGCGACTAGCTTTGAGATTTCAAGATCATCCGAGGAATCAGATCCATTAAAAGAAACATGCTTTCAACACTTCCAATTAAGAAATCAAGCCTTATATGTGAAAGGTGATATTTTAGCAATATAATATTGATTTTATGAAAATCGTATTATTTATTTGAAAAATTTGAATTTATATAGAAGTTATAGAAGTGCAACGAAGCATCGTGCTTGTGATGAAAGGAAATACACGTTAATGGATGATAAGGATCCTCAGGTAAACTAAAAGGTGGACAACGACTCACACTAATCTCAGGGAAAGCAGAGATCAAGCAGTCTAAAGTCTAGTTATACTGAACTAAATTATGATGAAATAATTCGTTAAACAACACAACGGCTTTATCAGATGTTGAAGTAAGAATCAAACAGCCAGAATTATCATTGTTACACCAAGTGACTTGAGGCAAATTGAAGTCTCCCAACGCGACAACCAAATCGGAGGATTTCGACTGCTTGGTCACTTCACAAATGAGGGCGGCCTGTTTTTTTTATATGGAGCAGGTTATAAATAGTTGATTATTAGGCATTTTCACTCGAACGGCGATAAATTCAACGTCAGGAGTAGCAGGAAATTCAATTGATTTGGACGCAAATGACGAAGATATGGCAATTAATACACCACCACCAATGCTATCCAATCGATCATTTCTGAAAACCTGGAAAGAATTGTGGAAAAGTTAAGACGAATGTAGATCAGGTTTTAACCAAGACCAAACAGGAGAACTCCGTGCCAACTGAATTTAGGAAGGTAGAACGAATTTTTGAATCTAGGCCCCTAACATTTTGATAAATGAGAGATAGTGAGCCTGAAGAAACATTCAGTTTTTTGAAGGCGACAGGACTACTGGTTTAGTATTACGGGGACGATCACGAGAGATAAATTCTTTTATTAAGGATCCAAGTGGCCACAGTGGTTTATCTAACAACATATATTGATATGTTTTCAGCCGGAACTAGCATTTTAAAAGACGAGATAGCTCTAGATTGAAGAGGACCCAATTTGAAAATGGCGAACACGCTTTAAATTGACAGGTGGGACATTTGCCGCCAGATAACTTTTTATGTTATCCACAGATGTATCAGGTGCCAATCTTGACTCAAATATTGCCTTTCTGGGAGGAACTGCCGCCATGCAAATGTTATTACTACTAGAAACACTAGGATTCACGGCTGGGTAGTTCTGAGTTGGGGAGAATATAGAAGGGGTAATCACACTCCCACGAGCAGCTTGTGCGACATGCCCAGTTTGGTGACCAGCGTTCACACTCGAACAGCCAGGGGGAGAGGCCGATTTACTATTCTCATTATTCGTTTTAGGCAATGACGCCTGAGTAGAGTGAGTGACGCCACTAGGAGGCGATACTCTTGCCACTTCAGCATAGCTTCAACCAGAAGGACTTGCCGGCTTATTTCTAACCTTTTTATTACAGACCGACTCAGCCATATCAGAAACGCTGTCGTTCTTTGAGGACATTATGGAAGCGCTAACTTGGACCAACGAATCGGACTTAGGTAGAATTAGAGGTCATGTACCATACGGTACGAGTTAAGATTTTACTAGCTTGGGAAGAAGAGGAGTGCTCAATAAAACGACATTCATCAAACCTATTCTTAATGATCTGAAACTTTTCCCACAAGGAGCCGAGATTTTTACTCAGTTCAGAGAAACTACTTCTCGTCTCCCTGAACAATTTGTAGAAGTCAATGTCCCGCTTCCTACCGTTAGGATATGACGATCGCCATCCCTTCGAGGGATCAACGACTGAATTAGCAGCACGGCCGATAATACCGGCACACCTTGCATTGCCAAAGCGATCGCAAAGCCAACACGAAACGAATCTTTCAGATTTGGGGCCCGCTTTCGCCCGACAAGGTGTATATAAACACTCTATGTTCCGTCTAAAAGACACAAGTGGCTTATGAAGACAAATTGCAAAAAAATCTTCAACCCAAAAATTTATCAACCAATTTAAGCAAAACTTCTCTGTTACGTTGACACTGTAACAAGAGATAGAAACCAAAACAATCTACAAACAGCGAAAAAATAAACAGAGAAAAATAGAGGAAACAAAAAAAAAGGGGGAATTTATATCAGAGCTCAAAATTTTTGCTTGCAAAAATCCAATGAATCAAAGCGTGAATTCACTCACTTTCTTCTCAAAGTATGTTATGAATTCACACACTATAAGGCAAAATAGCCGCGAAATTCAACAAGAAATTGAAATATTAATTGCCGAAACAAAATATAGACGACTATACCGCGCAAGAGAGTTGCCAAACTGCAAACTATTTCAGATAATCTGCTACCTAAATGTTCGTCAAA